CCGGCTACACAATCAAATCAGTCGCATTTTCTACTGACCTCCACCCCCGTCCCCGCGTCAGTTGCGTTACTCTAAGCACCGTCGCCTCACCCACCAATGGCAATGGCTAACATTTTTAAAGCACCTTTATTAACCTTTTTTTTTTACTTTTCCATGGCCTTTATACATCTTTCTCACCCATCCCACTGGTGTGTATTTTGATACATAGTGATTGTGTAATCTTTTAATTATTTGGATGATTGGAACAATTGTAAATAAAAAGTTCCAACAAAGCCACTGGTTTGTTTACTCCTTTTTAATATCCCATGGCCTTCACCACTGTCGTGTGAGTTCTAAGACCCCCTCTATGACTTCTTCACATTTTAACTCTACTGTGATAATAGCAAACTCAACAGAAAAAAGTAAAAATGGCACCATAATTGCCGACGGCAGTCATGCTTTTTCAAGTTATGGTTGATAAGCCATCCCCATTCGGAATGCTTGTACCGCTGTTGAGAATCTTTGATTTGCAAAACAATGATCTGCCTAAATTTACTTCAGTAGATAGGTTTTCATTCGGTATGAATAGCTCCCTGCCTGAGCAAGTACAGCATTTACATTCTATTTGCATTTCTCACAGAGACAACCACGGAGTGAGGAGGTTTTAAGCTCGAAATTGGTATTTAAGCCACTTTTTTTTTAAATTTACCAATCCAGGTTCTAAGTATTTCACCCCTAGCATAAAAATGATTTGTCAATTGTATTTGAAAACGACTCTCCGAAGTGAACTATCCTTTTCCACAATAAGTGACTTCTTCTGCGTGGATTTCTTTGTCATCTCTGAAATGAGGTACCAGTTTAGTTAAGTTCTCTCTGCACTGGTTGCCAATTCCCCTTACAAAAGGATTGTTCTTTTTTCACGAGCAGTGGTCATGGTCTCGCAAAAGCAAGCTGCAACAACGCCCTAGGGGAGCACTCTTGTGTGTTTCCAACAAACAACATGATATGGAATGATTCGAGTAATAATAACCGCAACACTGTGTATTCATCTGAGGTGCTCAGATTCAACTCCTGAAATCGTCCAAATATATTGTCAACTTATAACTACTGCTATTTCGTTAAGTCGGATTATACATTGTGGCGCAACTACCTGGTAAACAAAACTTGTATTGTACGTGGACTAAGGAGAGTTGGAATTTCAGAAGCACCAAGAGATTGTGCTTTTTTCGAGCGGCATCAAATGAATAAAATTTACACTCTGTGAAGTTGGCTTACAGTCTTTTCTCAGGTAATCCATTTCTTAATCTAATAAAGGTCAGGAAAGAGGTTTTTTAAGATCACGTTTCCCGTCACAACAAAGAATTTCAACACACTCACTTCACATTGAGTGCCTAATTTGAGCATCTTAATGCTTTTTTTCCTTTGCGTGTAAACGGAGGACCGATTTATCA